CAAGCCCCCCTCCCACAACTCACCCCAGTGTGAGAGGGGTTTTCCAGACACAACACAAGACTCAATATGGGGGGGGCGGGAAGGGAATTATATTACAATCATTACACAAATAAATATTATAATACATTATATACACAATCCTAACTATCTCTCCTATGCTAAAGCAATATATTTACATTGGATCAAATCTCTTCTCCCTCCAACAACATCATCATCCTTCTTTTCCAGTCTGGTGTGATAGGTTTAAATTTTGCAGGGGCGCTGATTGGGTCAACATCAAGAGATCCCACCCCCTCAGGGGTTACCATTTTTTTTAACTCCAGGGGGAAAAATCCTTTTTTCCCCACCACAACCCCTCAGACTGGGGATTCTCAGCTGCCTGAAAATGGCCCTTCCAAGCAGCAGAGGGGGTGTTGGTCATGAATTGTCACCACACAGACCAAACACAGCAATGAGACCATTTGATCACCGATATCTGATTAAAATGAACGTTGTGTTGTCCGCAGCGAGGATGGCTGAGGTGAAGAACCTCACGTGGGCGGTGGAGGACATTTTCAAGGACACCTTTCTCAGCTACATGAACGGCTGGAGGAGGAACATGACGGAGGCGGCGACCAAGCTGCAGGCCCAGGTGGCGGCCGAGAACTTCGACTACGTCATCCTGTACCTGATGGTGATGATCGGGATGTTCTCCTTCATCATCGTGGCCATCCTGGTGAGCACCGTGAAGTCCAAGAGGAGGGAGCACTCCAACGACCCCTATCACCAGTACATCGTGGAGGACTGGGGAGAGAAGTACAAGAACCAGGTGCTGATCCATGAAAATCCGGGAGCGAGGGATAAAACGAGCCCCGAATCGCCCTGAGTTTCGGGAAATGCCGGCGGTGAGGAAATCAGGGAGTCACACACAGGGAACCCACTGGGATTGTGAAAACCTGGGAAACTGTTTGTTAAATTAACACACAGGTGGAGGTATAATGGAGGAAACCAACCTTACTGGTTCCCATCAACCTGACTGGTTCCCATCAACCTGACTGGTTCCCATTCCACCTTACTGGTTCCCATGAGGACCTTGGCATAGCCCCTTGTGAAATTCCCAGGAAAAATGTCTGTTTGTGCTTCGCTCTGAGATTTTCTGTTCTTCGGGAAAATAAAACCAAGAGAACGAATAATTTGATGATTTTGGCATCTTTTTTTCCAAATCCAGAAGCAGCTCTGCATGTTCCCACCTCGGAATAACTGCGAATTAGTGGCCAAAAGTGCTGACTTAGAGCTAAACCGAACGCCTTAAGCCTGGCTTAAAAATAACTCGCAAATATAGAGGAAAATCTCCAATCTCCATTTACTGAGTGAACAATGGGTTAGGATGTGAATCACAGGAGGCAAGTTATCCCTGCACACATTCACTCCAAACCACTTTTTAATGCTCTGACTCCCATTTCCATGTCATTATTCCTTGGCAGCAAAGGTTGACTCCCAGCTCCCGACAAGGCCTGGTTTGTAGGAGAGCTGCTCAACTAAAAGCCTCATCCAGGAGCACATCCTGGGCATCTGGGGCAGCTTCCAGAGGTTCATCCTAAGGCTTCAAGCCTGTAGCTGGCCAAGCTGACCCTCCTGCTGCTCCTTGGTTTTCCAGAGGAATCTGGGATGCATTTGGATGGTGGAGCTCTGCTTGTAATCAGATGTCTGCCACCAGTGAGGGCTTGGTTGAAACCACCCAGATTTCACCTTCTGGCTTTCACACCCTGAATTTCCACACCCAGCTACCAAAGCTGTCCTATTCCTACATTTCCTGACGGATTCTCGTGTTGGTTCCTGCTTTCCACTGGCTGGGAAACGGGTTTCCAAGATGCTTTGCCTTCTGTGAGGCTGAAGTACCACAACACTCGGGGGGTAATGAGAAGCAGAAGTGGTGTCACTTCTACCATTAAAACATGTTTCAATTTGTAAGGCTTTGGGTTTAGCTCCTGCCAGACTTAAACCACTTCAATTCACATTTCCAGAGCTGGCTGGCTGTCCTGTGGGCTTGTTTGTTATTGGTAGGTTTTGGCTGGTGCCACGTTTTTGGACAGTTTTTGTTTTGCTCGTGTTAAAAAATAAATGAAAAAAGGGGCTGCTTCTCGTTGGGAAGCTTTGGCTCGTTTTGGAGACTGGTCTGGAGATTTGGCACAGCAGAAGCTGTCATGGGCCAGATGTGCTGGAGGTGCACAAGAGGCATGACCAGAAGGTCAAGGGAAGGCGTTCTCCCCCTCTGCTCCTCTGAGACCCCCCTGCAGAGCTGCTCCAGCCCTGGGGAACAGCCCAGCAAGGACATGGAGCTGCTGGAGAGAGCCCAGAGCAGGCCCCAAGAGGATCCCAGGGCTGGAGCAGCTCTGCTGGGAGGAAAGGCTGGGAGAGCTGGGATTGTTCAGCCTGGAGAAGGCTCCAAGGAGACCTCAGAGCCTCTTGCAGGGCCTAAAGGGGCTCCAGGAAAGATGGTGAGAGACTATTTGCAAGGGCTGGAGGGACAGGACAAGGGGAATGGCTTCAAACTGACAGAGGGCAGGGTTAGATGGGATATTGGGAAGGAATTCCTGGCTGGGAGGGCAGGGAGGCCCTGGTCAGGTTGCTCAGAGAAGCTGTGGCTGCCCCTGGATCCCTGAAGTGTCCAAGGCCAGGTTGGACGGGGCTTGGAGCAACCTGGGATAGTGCAAGGTGTCCAACCTGGCCTTGGACACTTCCAGGGATCCAGGGGCAGCC